CTCATGTGACAATCTACCTCCCAAAACCTCACAAACCCCGATCCTGGGCTGTGGTTGGGTAGCGATTGATGTAGCCTCTCCACTGGCTTTTTGCTTTGTTACAATGTAGATGCTCACTTCAAGCTCTCCTCCTCCCACTCTTTTCCATCCTCTTGTCCTTTGCTGCCCCCATTACCACTTCTGTTAGCCTGAGTAACTTCTTTCTTCATCTAATCCACCACTTTCTCCTCAATTTTTGCTGCTTTGCTTCTTGCCCTTTTATCTGAGGCACTCTGCTGTCCTCCAACAGCTTTTCCTGCCCTTACCTTTAATCCTATTCTCAGTACTTTGTGTCACTACTCCTATCTGCCTGCCTCATTCCCTTCCAGCTAGGCTTGGTCAATGAAAGGACGTTACCAGCATCAGTTATCCCACTCTAAACTTATTTTTACCTAAAAGCTTTTTTTATTGATACTTGTTTCAGTCCCTGTGTCATATAAAGGGAAGCTTGCTTTTATTCTGCTGTCAGATGTTGTTGTAGTCACACAATTTAATAAAACTTTACACAGTAACAAGTAGCTGCTTAAAGCATAGTTATAAACTCTAGTGCAAAATCACTGTTCATCATTTAAAGGCTCTGTTCACTCATGGTGCGACTTAACAGCTCTCATCACAAGAGGGGAAAAGGCATTATGAAGATGTGTACAGTGAGACAGTAGAAATATGTTTGTGGGTAATGGAGCAAAGCAGCAGGGATGACTGCTTTACAGGGTTTTTGCAAGTTTCATGGAGGAGCTACTTAATTTTTTTTTTTTTTAATCTGCAATTCACTGGACTCTCCAAAAGCAGAGTATCAGTCATTATCCAGTGTATAACTACTGCATGAAGCTTCATAAACCATCAATCAGTTTGTTGGCATACTTGACAGTAGAGCTCTCTGCTGCCATCATGTGGCCTAAATGATTGCATTGTTTATTATCAGAGTTCTAGAGTCATATAAAATTTTAATATCACCCGAGCCTACTTTCCAATCTTTTTCTTCCTCTTAAACTTACTGCACCCTCCCTCCCTCTGTCTCCCCACTCCCTCCCCTGTCCTCATCTCCCTGTCTCTCTTCGTTGATTGATGCGGTGCTTCTCCTTTCTCTCTCTGAAGCCTGTATGGAGCTCATGTTGCGGGCGAGGCAGGGGGGGGTCCAGGGTAAAATTGTTCCCCCCCAGAGCGCGGCGCCACGCCTGCTCTCTAGACGAGCAGGCCGCAGCCTGGAGCCACTCCTCCCAGGTCAGTGCGCTCTGGGGGGAGCAATTATATGGCGGGCACAGTGCTGCTAAGTGATTTGGGAGAAGTTCTGGTCCTTGAGGTGCTTATGTAGAGAGACAGGTGGAGATGGAAATGAAGGGAAATCAGGAGTCAGTTGTGGTGTTTCTGAGCCTGTGGTGAATGCTTGCATTTTATTGGTTCCCTTGTTTGCCATGTGCCATTGCTTTTACGTTGGATTGGTTTATGT